TCTCTGAACCCACACATATTGTTATATCTTTAGAAAGAAGCTTAAACACACACCTATCAAGCTTAAAAATATCTTTGTGCAATTGTTCCTGCCATTGGTGTATCAGCATTCTTCTCACAATGCTTTGCTTATATAAATTTAACAAGATGAAAGGTTGATGCTGAGAGGAGTCTTTGGACAGATTCGTTACCTTAGCAACCTTGCCCCAGACTTCAACGGCCCTGACCCAGCTACAAAGTCCTTCACCAGCTAACGAGACACTCTTAATGACAGCTGGCTGAAACTCAGGCCTGCTGATAAAATGACTTGTTATCTGGACAGTAACCTTTGGAGGAATATTATCTTTATCAGATTTCCGAAAGAATCCAAACACTGAGTGAGGTTCCACTAATAACTATATTCATAAGGCCATCATGCTTAAGTGCTTCTGGGAAAGCATTAGTAACAGGAAATTAAGTGTTACAGAATAATTGCTAACCTCACTGCATAAAATAGAAGCTGGCCGCCCAGTGATTTTGTGTTGGTAGCAGTCATTAGATGCCACTGTCCTGTATAATTGAAAAATTGTTTGTATAAAGGAAATATTGTCACTGCCTCATTAGACCCAACATTTAATTGTATTCGGAAAATCTGAGTGCCCTTTTGACGTCCAAATCACATACATATAAAGTTGTTGTCCAGGTAGTTTTAATGGTTAAAAATAAAACCAATTTCTACCTGAGCAAAGATTTTAAATTATCATAGGAATGTTCTTACAGCTGCTACTTCTAGAACACTCTGTATGAATAAAATCATAGTTAACTAATTATTAGTTTATTTATTCAACATTTATCATTTAGCAGGTATAGTACTAGGTAGTAGGAGTGATACCCAGTGAATAAAGCCTAGATTTTGCCTTATAGTGTGGTAGGGAGTACTCAGTTCAGTGTCATCCAACAAACAGCTATTGAGCACTTTGGGTTGTAAACCTATTGGTAAGCCATAGATATTTCCTAGCATATACCCAGATGAACATAGCACATGTTTACAGCTGGTATCCATTCTAATTAGTTATTGTTCATGTTGTATAATTAATAAAAGATATTTCAAAATAGATTCTTTTATACATTCAATCATTGTATTACTGATTGGGTTTTATTGCTAAGACACTTAGATGCTTTTGCTTTGATTCAACAAATTTTATTTTGTAAAGAAACCAAAGATCCACCATTTAAAAACATATCTAGGAACGTAGGGAGACTTTTGTAGCCCTAGTACAAAATAAGAAAACATTCCTACATACGTAGAGAAGAAATTGTAGATATAGTAAGCTCCTCTTCAGTATGTGCTAAGGAAGCTATCTGCTTAGAAGATCCTTCGTGTTTTAGGTTTTATCAATAGTCCAAATTAAATCCTGTTATGAACTGCATATTTATGTCATCCCCACAAATTTATATGTTGAAGCCCTAACCCCAAGTGATGATATTAGGAAGTGAGGACTTTGGGAGGTAATCAAGTGTAGATGAGGCCATGAGAGTGAAGCCCCTATGGTGGGGTTAGTGTCTTTATAAGAAGGAGGGAACCAAAGCCTCCTCACTCCATCATGTGATGGTACAAGAAGGCAGCTGTTCACAAGCCAGAAAGGGGGCCCTCAGTAGGAACTCAATCTGTTGGCACCTTGATTTTAGACTTTCCAGCCTCCAGAACTGTGAGAAATAAATGTCTGTTGATTAAGCCACCCAATCTATGGTATTTTGTTATAACAGCTCATACTGACTGAGACAGTTCCCTAAAGTGTACACATCTGGAGCTTATTAGTTTAGGTCAGCACCTCTGTTTCATCAAAAGTAATTTCAGTGCATCATTTACTATTGGTTAAACACACATTTGTGAAGCACTCGTATGTACCGCTGTGCTAGGAACTTGGTTTCTGTAATAAGTCATGGACCCTATTATAGCAGAAAATATAATCAAACAGAAAAGATGGATGACAATATTAACACCTAATGTTTTATTAAGGGTTGAAACATGAAGAAGTCATGGAAATCTTTATTTTCTGCAAGAGAAAGAATTCATTTCTGTCATTGTGTCTTAGGTTGAGCAGTATCCATAGAATAAGGACAAAAATAATATATTTCTTTAAGTTTTTTATTGGTGTCTGGAAGAACTGGTATGTATTGCTTTTCTTTCTAAAGCAGCAAATCACATAATTCAAATTTCTCACTTTTTGGGGGTGCCCAGAGGCCCAGAGATAATATTCAAAATTCAATCTCTGATTAGCAGTTAGGAAGCTAAGTAAGTCTAAGTATTTATCTGGTCCAACTGCAAGACTCATGCATCACCTTTGGAATTGCCCTTTCTCTTAGTCAGGTTGGGCCACTATAACAGAATACCACAGACTGATATTTAAATCCTGTCTCAGCAGAGTCTCTCAATTGTTCTGAAATCAACAGTGGCTTCTGAGTCCACCACATCTGGCACATATGGCTGACTGTCTCAAAATAACGAGGCCCTTAATCCTTGGTGCAAATATGTTTGCACAAAAATTCCCACACCTGGCAGGTATGAATCCCAGTCTACTATTTAGATTGGCAAGAAATAAAACTCTTTTTTTTTTTTGTTTTTTGAGACAGAGTCTCACTCTGTTGCCCAGGCTAGAGTGTTGTGTCATCATCCTAGCTCACAACAACCTCAAACTCCTGGGCTCAAGCAATCCTACTGCCTCAGCCTCCCGGGTAGCTAGGACTACAGGCATGCCTGGCTATGTTTTTCTGTGTATTTTTAGTTGTCCAGCTAATTTCTTTCTAAGAAATAAAACTCTTTATTTGCCTACATCTCAATTTAATTGTAGTGCCAAGTCCCTACTATGCAAGGGTAGTAGAAACCCAATGTCAGTTGCCTCTTAGATTCTGAGGTGCTTCACCCCAAATCCAAGTATTTAGGGAGTATTTGGTCTTTAATTTTATCAATGGACAGAAGAGCCCCTGATATGTCTGTTGTTGAATAAGGATGTGTATCCACACCTTTGCTACTGAGATGTTCCTTGTTTCTGTCCATTTGGCTCTTTCAGGCTGGTTGCTCTGTTACATAAGACCTTGTTTTGGGCACAGTAGTCATTTCTGTGCTTCTGGGCTATGTTAGATGCGGGAATCCCTGAAAGCTGTTCGTGGCCCAGTCTGCCTGTATTTGCTCTGCAGCCGTTCACTGCCTTTACAAAGATCAGCAAAGGAGGCCATTATTAACATCTCCTAAGGTCTAGTAACTTCCTTCAGCAAGCCTTTCTTCCTTTGGAAAGTTGTTTTTTTTCTAACCCAACTGACCCCACATCCTTTCCTTAATTCAGGTTTGATTACTTTGTTTTCATTTTCCAACAAAACAGTGCCAATATGCACCATTTGTTTGCTCTCAGTTTTTAGTAGTTTTTTTTTTTTTTCCTGATTTCATGCCAGGAAAGTTATTTTCCTTAAAAAAGTTCACTAACATGGCTAAATAGTCCATTAAATGAAATCACAAATAACATGAATCATGATTTGGACAGTTATGCCCATGCTTGCACAGGTTCCTAATTCCCAAACTCTTTATAAGACTTAGAAATATTAATATTATTTTTGCAGGAGTTAAAGAAATTAAAATGTTTTGCTTCTACTCTTCTGGAGTTTTATTGTAATTTTGTTTCCTGGAACTGCTTAATCTTATTTGTTTAATTAGATTGTTTGTTACTCCTGTATGAGATTATAATAAACTCTTTAATAAACATTAAAACTTGAGAGCTTATCTGTTATCTCTCCATAAACACTTGTTAACCCTATTCTGCTATCACTTTTGTGCAAAGAGGATCACTTAGACATTAGTTTATGATTTCTTTTTTTTAATGTAGGTAAATAGACATTATTTGAAGAAACCAATAATAATGCAATTCACAATACCACTAATCAAATTACCCCTTCCAAAGATGGCAGTTGGGAATATTTACTGTGGAAATATCTGTCTTTAGAATGATTTCTAAAATCAAATTTCAGTAAATGTAACCCAAAATTATAAAGACTATCTCTGCCAGGAACACCTCTTGAAGTAAGAAAAGATAATTTTACAAATAAGAGTTGGAATTTAGCCCTTTATTAGGGCTAAATTATAGTAGATACAGTATTTTTTTCTCATCAAAAATTATGCTTTCCAAATGCATGTCTGGTGAAGTTAGGCATAATTTTACCAGCTCCAGACATTTATAAATTAAATTCAGCTTGGAAATCTGCTCTAAGTCATCCTAATTTATTACAGTATATATATTTTTTGAGTTGGAAAAAGGATGTTGGAAATGAACACAAAGGAAAAATCTACATCTTTGATTTCTTTCTCTGCTCTACTCTTTATCTCCAAATGATCACCAAGTCCTACTAATTTTACCTCCCAAATATAATTTCTCCCTCTATCCATTGCCTTATTTGAGCCCACTATTAACTCTTGCCGGGCTAACAACAATGTAGCTTCCCAACTGGTCACCCTACTTCAGGTTTGTAACCTTGTAATAACCTTGACCCAGACTTTATGTTCTAGCAACGGTTCACCATCCGCTCCAAGATGTTTCTCACTTCTACTCCTTTGTCTTGGAACATAAAATGGTACTCACTTAATGTGTGTTGAATGCTTGAAAACCCCACATAGAGGAAAGATAGCATTCTCTGGCTCTGGACCCAAGCAGCAGGATGGTGTAATGGACAGAGCATTGGGCTATCTGCTGGGTTTAACCCAGGTCTGAATCCCATCTCTACTTCTTCTTTTTTTTTTTTTCTGAGACAGAGTCTCACTTTGTTGCCTGTGCTAGAGTGCCATGGTGTCAGCCTAGCTCACAGCAACCTTAAACTCCTGGGCTCAAGCAATCCTTCTGCCTCAGCCTCCTGAGTAGCTGGGACTACAGGCATGCACCACCATACCTGGCTAATTTTTTCTATATATTTTTAGTTGTCCAACTAATTTATTTCTATTTTTAGTAGAGACGGGGTCTCACTCTTGCTCAGACTGGTCTTGAACTCCTGACCTTGAGAAGTCCTCCTGCTTTGGCCTCCCAGAGTGCTAGGATTATAGGCATGAGCCATCACGTCTGGCCTCTACTTCTTAAAGCCACATGATTTTGTTCACTTGGGGTAAGTAAGCTAGCTTTTTATTGGTTAAAATGAGGTGAAATTTAGCTTGTGTGTGGCACATAGTAAAAACTCAAGAAATGGTAGTCTCCTTTCTTTTTAAAAAATACCATCAAATTCTAGCATTTAAGAGAGCAGCCAACTCTTCTTACAAGTACCTCAAATCACAGTTTAGCTGATTACTTTTCTCGGCTGCCTCACATGCCTGTATTAACAACAGAATACCGAAACATAAATCTTGAAACTCATTCCATAGAGGATGAAATATTAAATTTTTATTGTCTCTGAGTAACATTTTGGTGGAATTTTCCTACCAGATTTCTCCTAGAAATGACGCAATGGGGAAAGGGACACAGGACATGGACTTTTTGAAGGATGGTAGTAAAGGGGAAAAAAACTAGACAGCGTGTGGGGTACCCCTGTGGGAGGGTGACAAAAGTGAAGGAGAAAGCACTAAGAGTGTGTATGGCAGCACTCTCATATCCATATCGTTCATACTTTATAAATCTGCCTGGGGCCAGCTTTTTCAGAGAGATTTAGGGAGGATGACTAGCTTGGTGTCAGTAACTCAAACATGAAAAATCAGTGAAGTCCAGCATGATGAAGTAACCACTTGAGTTAGTGCTTGGCCACTGTCTCTAACTAGAGCCAGTCCTCATGATGAGAAAGGAGAGAGGAAGAGAAGCAGATGGGAAACTTCAGAGCAGATGTAAGTTATTTAAAAGTAATACAATAATTCAGCCGGAATGGAGTGGGAATTCAGCCAGTTATTGGGTATGACATTTGGATAAATTAAACTGAACAGAACAGAACATCCAGGAAATACCAGCTAGGAAAAGGAAAATGAGAGTGAAAGTTGGCAGACAAGGAAAGGAAAAGGGGTAGATTAAAAAAAAGAGTTTAACGCAAGGGGAATGTCATCCACATTTACTATTAATATTTATACTTAATGTACAGATTTTCATTTTTTTCAATAAAAATTCAATCATACACATTTGCAAATAGCTAGACATTTAGTGCCAGGTAGATAAAAAACTGAGTTACTGATTTTCCTCCCCCCTTTCCTCCTGTGACACATGTACAAATACAAACACAAAGACATATATTCACACACAGACACACACACCGAACGCACACACACACACATGCACACACACAACTAACTGCCTCATGTTTCCTCTTCATGTTTTTGTGAGATAAATGTTCAGATTTAGTTTATTTCACTGCAAAGGCAGCAAAAACTGTATGAAATGTACATGTTCCCATTCAGGAGAGATCCATTTCTTCTTTTAATTGTTCACTTTTGATTTGTGGCTGCTCTAGAAGTAATGGGATGGTCGGGGTGGAATTATAGATGGATGAAAGAGTTAGGCGCTGCCTGTGGGAAGACAGGCAGGTGAAAGATAAATCAGAAAAGGGTGAGCTCCAGGGTGAGTAAACAGCTGGATCTGAAACACAAAACTGCCTATTAAATAGAGATGGGAACAACTATTTGTCAAAATTTCTGATATTGATTGTTGATCTTTCTGCCTCAGGCTCATACTGTGGCCATTCTTAACTGATTTATCAAGTAGATATCTTGCTTTAGATATCTTTAAGGAGTTTGGACTTGCTTCATCTAAATCAACATTAACAAACTTCAAGTGGAATTCTGAATTTCACTTACTAGTGAGTTGGTTTCAAGATAGAGACAGTGAATTTGTCAAGTTTGGCTTCCTACAGGGCAATACTCTCACTCATGCCTTCAAAGTAAATTTGACTCGGTCTGTCGGACATTGAGCCAAGATTCTAATTAAAAGAATCTGTTTTCTCAGCGTTTCCACGTTCAGCAAGGCACATTTTTATATAGGTGCCTGTGTACATGTCATTATTTTTCATCTTCAAAGGTATTACACTTTGGAGACCAAAAAATAATCAGGCCCTAGACCAGTTTTTTTTTTTTTTTTTCTTTCAAATGTGTTCCTCTTTTGCGCCTGTCTGCCGCCTCCACTGCAGCATGGCTGTGGTACTTTTCCTTTTCAATTCCTTGCTGATAGGTCAGGCTGAAAAATAAAGACTATGATGACAATAAAAGCTCTCATGGAAATAAAACAAAAGGGAGAAAATATGAAAAGGACTTGAAAATAAAAGAATACAAAAGCACAGTGCATAAAGGATGAGAGAGTTGAAAAGATTATGGAATTAAGGAAAATGTGATAATGCAGTCTTAAAAGAGAAATGTTTTAAATAAAAAGTCATAAGGAAGTAGGTTAAAAAGGGAAAATAAATTAAAAACGGGGAAAGGAGGTTTGTTTTTTTTCAGAAAGTCTCATCACCTAAGAAGAATTTTCAGGCAAACTTATTATATTTTACTACAACCATATAACAAAGTTTATAACTAAACACAAGGCATCATAAAATAAACAATAGAGAAGGTAAAATATATTCCTTCTTTCTCTCCATAAAGTGTGAATTTGGAACTGGCCACAAATTCAACTTTAGTGGATGCCATAACATTAATGGAGGCTGAGCACTTAGTGAAGAAGTGAATCTGTGATCTACTCCACAGAATAAAGTTGTCTTCCCAGAGCCATGTAAACGATCAACCACAACTGTGTTTTTATAACAATCCTGTGGGTTATGGAAAGTGAAGAGAACTCAGCACCAGTTATACGAACTTCAGCAGGTTTTTAATCTATAATTTAGAGATAATAACATTTTCTCTACTCACCTTGAATGAACCACTCTGTGCATGAGCTAGAATGTGATTAACTATAAAGAACCAGACATATATGAGACAGTGCTATATTACAATGTACTTATTCCACTGATAATTTCAATTTCAGGGCACTGAATAGTAGAGTTTATAGTTAGGAAAATCTGGTGGAATTTGGTCTCCAGATGATGCTATCAGAACCACTTAGAATGTTGAAATTTATTAGTCATTGCAATTTCCCACCCCCACAAGGTGGGGAACGTATATGGCTTAAAATTCAACATATACAAAAGGATAATTAGTGAAATACTCATCAACTAATTTTTCCTTTATGATTGATTCTTTTTTTGATTGATTGAGTCATTTGACACATTTATTGCATCTGTTATGTTCATGGCAACTCTTCTGGTGCTAGGGGTATTGCAGTCCTTACTCTCAAGGAGATCTCATTTTTCAGAGGCAACTGTTGATACCAGTTTCTTGTGCATCATTCTAGAGATTATATACACCCACCCCCACACAAACACACATATGTTCTTTAAAAAATGCTGTGCATTGAATGTTTGTGACCCCCTCACAATTCTGTGTTGAAATCCTAACCTCCAAAGTGATGGGATTAGGAGGTGAGTCCTTTGGGAGGCAATTAGTTCATGAGGGTGGAGCCCTCATGAATGGAATTAATGCCCTTATAAGAAGAGACAAGAGAGTTTGCTCTCTGTCTCTGCTCTCTGCCATGTTAGTGTACAACCAGAAGATGGCCATCTGTAAACCAGGATGGGGTCCTCACAAGACACTGTATTTACCTGCATCTTATCTTAGACTGCCTAAGCTTGCAAAACTGTGAGAAGTAAATATTTGCTTTTCAAGCCACCAGTTTCTGGTAACTTGTTATAGCAGCCAGAACTAAGACAAAAAGTTTTACAGACCCTCCCATAGCAATTGTGTAACTCAGGGCAAGAGTATAAATGGAGCCTACACACAGTGTGTCTAATTATTTAAAAGTTATTAATCAAGTTTACAGTTAACTAAAATATATCCTATCCCTTTACTTTGACAAATATGTTCATCTAAGTACAAATGGAAAAAATATTCATAAAGCTATGTTTTTTCTGTAACTGAAAGTTGGCAAAATATGAAAGACTAAATTTATTATAATTATTGTACATGTCTTGATATTCTGTTAGTGTACTACTGATATTTGGATTACTAACAAAATGAAGCATATAATTCATAATTACATGTAAATAATTTCTAAAGAAATTTTTCTTTAATTTTAGCAGAATTACTAATTATGGTATTATAGTCAAGATTTTCATATAATTGTGTCCCAACAGTAATGATTTTAGGATTAAAAATGTAATTGTACACAAAAATGTATAAAATTTGGATACATTTTCATCAAAATGTAAACATTATATATTTTGTTAAATATAAATTTAAACATTGATTAAAATTCATTTTTATATGTCTTCAAAATGTTTTTCTTTTAAAATAACCATCTAAATGTAAAATTTTAATTTTAGAAAGGAAGATTTTAATGGTTGGATATAGAAAACAAATTTAAATTAGCTGAATTTCTTAGACATTTATTTTTCAAATTTAATTAAATTTCATTTGATATTTTAACTTAAAACTGCTATTAATAAAATAATTTTTTGTTAATAAAATATTTTAATTTCAATGAAGTCTCATTTAATATAAAGCTTTTCAGTTCTGGTATTCAATGTCCATCCAGTGGCCAAGTTGTAAGGAATCTATACCATGCCACAATTAGAACTAATACAGAAGTAATATTGTTTATATTGGATAATGTTCCTCAACTGTTACTCAGCAAATGCTCTGGATACTATTATAATTTGAGCAAAAAATGAAAAAAAGAAAACCAAAAGCAAGAAAATGTATGATCAGCTCTATTGTAAAGAAAGAATGCAAGAATCTATTGCATTTCTGCTGAGCGAAGGTTTGACAAGTTAATTAATTTGTCTTTGCTCTTACATAAATGCTTCTATAGCTTATGATTTTCCTGCTCTTCAAAGCAGTGGTCATTTGTGCCCTGCAGTGGCACAACCTACAAATATCCACAGTATTTGGACAGAGTTGCCTTTTGTTTTGAAGATATAGAGCAAAAAATGAGAAGTTTTTCCCTGGGGCCTGAATGGTGTTTGGCATGTGAATAAGATGTTTAGGGTTGCAATTTACACTGTGCTGTGCTGAGTGCCAGATCCTGTGTGACAAAGGTGCCCTGTGCTTCTTAATAAATCCATTGTATGTGTGATAAATAGGGCCCTCTCAAATAGTCAAAAGACATCTTTTTGTTGATGTCAAAAGGATTGTACTGTAGTGAATACATCTGAACATATGGCATTTTATTTTTAGTGTCTTCAGGATCAATTCCTTAGAAATCCAATTTTATTAAAGGATACAGACATTTTAGTTTTTGATAGATATTTCCAAATTGCTCTCCTTAGTGGTTGTGACAATTTGTAATCTCATCAGAAATGTAAGAGAATGACTTTTTTCCCACATCCTTGTTAACAGACTATTTTATCATACACTATAGATCTTTACCTATCTGTTAGGAGAGAAATACCATCTCGTAGTTTGAATTTAAATTTCTCTCATGCATAAAATGAACAGTTTTTAATGTAGTTACATTGTTACTTATATTTTTTTGCTGTTAATATCTTTTGCCTGTTCTTTTCTATTGGATTATTCATCTTTTGCTTATTTATTTATACATGCTCTTGATATATTAGGAAAATTATTCTTTTGTTATGAGTTGCAAAAGTTTTTCCCAGGTCGTTTTTTTTTTTAACTTTTTTTCCTATATAGAAATTTTAAATAAATATTCTTATATAGTTAAATTTATTAACCATTTTCTATGACTTCTGGGATTTTTAATAATAATTAGGAAGTTCTTCCCCACTTGAAGATAATACAAAATAAAAAGGAAAATACCTCCCATTGTTTCTTCCAATTCTTTCAAGGTTTTATTTTTCACCTTTAAATCTTTGATCTATTTGGGATGTATTTTTGTGGAAATTGTGAGGTAGGTATCCAATATAATGTTTTTCTCTGATGGATATTTTATTGTCCCAATAATATTTATTGTATATTTTATCTTTTCCCACTGATTTAAAATATCCTTAGTGTACATAAATTTCATTATGCATTTGGGTCTTTCTCAGGGCCGTCTAGTTTTTATTTATCTGCATATTCACATGTGTATATGCCATATTATTTAGTTATTGTAGCTTTATTTTATATTTTAATATTTGGTAGGGCTAATCTCACATCATAACTCTCTTATTTTCTCTCACAATTTTCTACTATTCTTTCTTCTTTTTCCCTTATAAACTTTAAATCAGTTATTTTAGTTTTAGGAAATCCCCTTGGTAGTTTTTTAGGGTTATTTAAATTTTCAATTGGATGACAATTAACATCTTTATGATGGTAAGACTTTCTATTAAGAATGTGGTATGCCTTTTTGTTAGCTTAAATCACTTTTGTGTGGGCCTTTAAAAAAACATTTTAACACTATTTTATATAGCTTTTATATATTTCTTATAAAGTTTATTCATAGGTATTTTATATATATATATTTTGCTTTTGTAAATAAGGATCTTTTCCATTATTTCTTCTAATTGTTGTGTACATACATGAAGGCTGTTGATTTTCATATATTAATTTTTTAGCATTACCTTGTTGAATTTTCTTGTGTTTGTAATTTCTCAGTTGATATTCTTGGATTCTAGGCAATCATCTTATTTGCAAATCATGATAATATTATAATTTTTATCTTTATATCATTTACCTAATTGGATTGGTTAGCTAGGTACTCCAAGGTAATATGAAATATGGCATAAGTGAACCTATTACTGACTTCAATGGGAAAGGAATCTCCTAGTATTTCTCCATTAATTATGCTATTAACTGTTGGGTTGATATATATGTTTGTATGTGTATCATGTTAATGAACTATCTATTAATATTTTATCAGTTTTTTCTTTTAAAATTAGATTTTAAAATAAAGATTACATTTTATCAAATGACTTTTTAGCACCTATGGAGATGGTAATATGTTATTTTTTTTATCTGTTTAAATAAAGTGAATTTTACAAATAGGTTTCCTAATACTTAACTCTAGCTTTCCTTTCAATTCTGGAGTAAAATCCATTTGGTTATGATATTTTATTCTTTTATTATGTTTTCTGATTTCTGTTTCTCAATGTGACATAGCTTTTTTACATTAATATTTATAGGAAGGATTGGTCTTTTGTTTGGCTTTAAAAAAATTGTATAAATGTCATGCTAGCTTTTTGAAGCTCTCTTTATTTTCTGGAAGAATTGCCTTTCTTTGCCTTGTTTAGTGTTCTTTGCTCTGAGCACCATTGGATTTTAGATTGCATGGTTTGGAACTATGGGGTCTATATGTGTTAAATTACTGGTTTCCGTAGAGTGAATCAGCCAGCCAAATATTTTGACACACAAAATTTTAGCCTTCTAAAAATCCAACCTTGTATTTCAGCACAGCCCTGCTCACCCTATCTCCCAAGTCAAAGTGGACCTCATATTGACAAATCCCTACCTGTCCTCCAAGGTTTTGTCTAAATGATACCGTCATGAAGCCTTTCTGGTCCCTCTGACTTAAAGATGATCTCTTTCTTTGAGGTTAATTTTATGTTTTTTAAATAACATCCCATATTTTTCTGATACATTATTCAATAGATTCATTAGACATTTGCAGACATCAAAATGTTTCCATAATGCTATATTGTTTAATCCTTATTACAGCCCTATGATTTGAACACCTTAAAGATAAAGGGATATTAACCTAGGAAGAGTCAATAATTTTTTTTAAGGTCACAGAGCTGATAGGCTTCCAAATAAAAATGTAGCCCAAGTCTGTCTGATTCCAAACCATACACTCT